AATCCTTTTTTTTTTTTTTTAATATTGCTATTTTGTGTCCCAACTAGACATTTTGCTTCACTTCCTGTCCTGGTAGCAATGTTTTTACTAGGACAGAAAGTGAATGTTCACTCACCGGCCACTTTATTAGGTACACCTTGCTAGTACCAGGTTGGACCCGCTTTTGCCTACAGAACTGCCTTAATTATTCATGGCATAGATTCAACAAGTTGTTTGAAATATTATAAGCAGTATCCTGCTGGAAGTAGCCATCAGAAGATGGGTACACTATAGTCATAAAGGGATGGCCATTCTCCTCTGACCTCTGACATCAACAAGGCATTTTTTTCCACACAGCTGCCACTCACTGGATATTTTCTCTTTTTCGGACCATTCTTTATAAACCCTAGAGATGGTTGTGTGTGAAAATCCTAGTAGATCAGCAGTTTTTTAAATATTTAGACCAGCCTGTCTGGCACCAACAACCATGCCACATTCAAAGCCACTTAAATCCCCTTTCTTCCCCATTCTGATAGGTTTGAGCTTCAACAAGTTGTCTTCACCATGTCTAGATGGCTAAATGCATTGAGTTGCTGCCATGTGATTGGCTGTTTAACAATTTGTGTTACCAAACAATTGAATGAGTGTACCTAATAAAGTGGCTGGTGAATGTATATCTCTTAAGAAGAAGACCGCATCATTATATACAGTATCTAAGATCCTACCCTTTTCCATTTTGTCCAAAATTAAAGACGTTTTTGGCTGGTGTTCCACTTTAAAATGTACGTCCACCAGTATCAAGGCTACTCATGTCTTGGAGATTGATCAGTGGGGGAGCATAAGCTCAGATTTTACCCAAGGGCCCCTAGGGCTTCAGCAGAACAACTGCAGGGATCTGAGCCAATTTATAGTGTAGTAACTCGAACCCCTATTGATTGCGTTGAAGCCATTTAATTCCTATGAAGAGTGCAGAACATGATGGGATGTAGTGGTAGTGGAGCAAGCTAGAATCATATTCAGAATTGTGTGGTATTCATCGCAACCCTTCTTACTGTTACCTAATGCATATTTAATCACAAATATGTTTGCCCTTGTTCATACTATTACAAACAAGGATGTGTTAAGTACTACACATCCTGCCATTAGCTCTACCCTTGAATTTTTTCTCCAGTGATCCTGTTACAGCATCTGTCTTGACAGACTCCACAGGCAAGTTACAAGGAACTTTGAAGCAGTCTGTTTCTGTCACAAGGACAGCCTGTCAGATCTGCATGCCATCTGCCTTTCTGACTATTCTTTGATACCATGTAATGGCTGCACTTGAACCTGTTTGTGAATAATATACATATTTCACCTTATGCAGCGGCTTGCTCATTTCCTATTTAAATATTTTTTTTCCTCTGGCTCAGAAGGAAATGATACATAAATGCATGAGTCTGGTGCCTCATCTCTCTAATCAAAAGATCCAGAATGACCACTGCAAACACAAATTTTACTGGCAAAGTACCTCCACTCAGACCTGACTATATTCATTTAAAGTGGAACTCTAACCAAACCTTTTTTGGGCATTGGTGTATACATATATGTGAACCGGCACTTACATGGACAGGGGAATAGAGATTTTGGGAACACTAAAAATAACCCACATGTTTATAGTGGCTGTTTAATAATAACTGAGGTTAGTGACGTGAAAAACAAATTGAAAATGTATGAATCATTACACTGCTCAAAAAAATTAAAGGAACACTTTTTAATCAGAGTATAGCATCAAGTCAATTAAACTCCTGGATTATTGATGTGATGTGGTCAGTTAAGTAGCAGAGGGTGGCCTGACAATCCGACATCCTCTAGTGGGCCCTGTGCTCATTGCCCGACACCATAGAGCTGAATTGTCATTTGCCATTGAACACCAGAATTGGCAGGTTTGCCACTGGCGCCCTGTGCTTTTCACAGATGAAAACAGGTTCACCCTGAGCACATGTGACAGACATGAAAGGGTCTGGAGAAGTCGTGGAGAATGTTATGCTGCCTGTAAGATCGTTCAACATGACCGTTTTGGTGGTGGGTCAGTGATGGTCTGGAGAGGCATATCCATGGAGGGACGCACAGACCTCTACAGGCTAGACAATGGCACCCTGACTGCCATTAGGTATTAAGATGAAATCCTTGGACCCATTTTCAGACCCTATGCTGGTCATCGGGTCCTGGGATCCTGGTGCACAACAATGCCCGGCCTCATGTGGCGAGAGAATGCAGGCAGATCCTGGTGGATGAAGAAACTGATACCATTGAATGGCCCCCACACTCGCCTAGCCTAAATCCAATGGAACACCTCTGGGATATCATGTTTTGGTCCATCCAACAATGCTAGGTTGCACCTCAGACTCTGCAAGAGCTCAGTGATGCCGTGGTCCAGATCTGGGAGGAAATACCCCAGGACACCATCCGTCATCTCATTAGCAGCATGCCCTGATGTTGTCAGGCATGCATACAAGCACATGGGGGGCCATACAATCTACTGAGTACCATTTTTAGTTGCTGCAATGAAATTTCAGAAAAATGGACTAGCCTGCTGCATCATTTTTTTCACCTTGATTTTCAGGGTGTCTTTGAATTCAGTCCTCTGTAGGTTGATAATTTTCATTTCCATCAAGGATTGGGCATCCTTACTTTCCTAACATATTACCCAGTCCATATCAGTATAGATATCCAGCATGATATTTTTTGTAGTCATGTTTGACTGTTGGACACCATTCTCTTTGTGCCTGGCAAAAGAAGTTTTACATCCTTTTGGCCGGCATTTGACCTGCTTAAAGCGGAACTTCTCCCAAAAAAGGAGGTCCCGCTCTTCCTCCTCACCTTCCCAACTATATTTGGATCATAGTTTTTTTTTTTGGGGGGGGGGGGAGAGCAAGTACCTAGATTTGACAGGTACTTGCTCCCACTTCCACTCGGATTGGACCTTCCTGCCCACAGTCTTCCCCAATTTTTTTCTCAATCTATAATACACCACATTTTTACAATCTCCAAAAAAAAAAAAAAAAAAATACCAGAAGGCTGCAAGACCATCCACAAAGCGCAGCATTGCTCGCGCATGTGCAGTGGGAAACCGGTTGCAAAGCTACTAGTAGTCACAGTCAGCTGCCAACAGTGAAAATGAAAGCACCGGGGACAGAAAGACCAGTGAAGAACCGGACTGGGTCAGTACAGTGCTGGATTCAAGGACAGGTGAGTATCTGTTTATTAAAAGGCAGCAGCTACAGTTTTTGTAGCTGCTGACTTTTAATTTTGGCACATCTAACTGCTTTAAAGCAAGTTTGCATTACCATAGACTCATATGGGAATTCAAAACCTGCTTGAAGTTAACAAAACCCATCAGTACAGGCCCTTAAAGTTTGCTTGGTTGTAGTTTGCTGACTGAACTTACATGGCTACTCTTTTTCTTTTTTCTGCCAATAGATTTGTAAGTCTTTACAATTATTCTTGTGTTTTACACACCCCTGCCATGCTAAAAGACTATCAAAACATTCTACTACTTCTTGAATTAACTGTGCTAATTCTTTGCTCAGCTTGGTGTTTTTTTATTCTGCTGTCTATTTTTTTGATACTGGTGCTTCTTCTTCATTGTCCGAGAAGGCTGGAGGTAGAGAGGTGACATAGAATAATGTGTTGCTGTATGCCTGACACTTCTAGGTATGCATAGCGTGTAACTCAATCCCTCTCCAAATGTCACAGTGCTATGTGCCTCATGATTGGCCTGGAGCTGTTACATGAGGCCACAGAAGGAGTCCATAGCTTGTGTATGATCAGGCAAGTTGATTTCTGCCTACATACTGTGCTTTTGTTCCTTGGTGTTGTAGGATGATTGTAGTGGCCCACATGGACCTAGAAAAGGTACATTTTAAACTCTGAGCTCAATGCACATCTTTATTCTGACTACATGAATCAATTTATTGGGTGTTTTTGTACCAGGCCTTCACTGTCTAATGTGACACTGTCAGGATCTGTTAACAGTGATTTAAGTTCATGAATAGACACGGAGTTCCATGTGTGGTCAGTTCCTAAATGGCAACAATCAAAAATGAAGTTTGCCAGAATGGTGATTGTAGTAGAGCAGGCTTCAAAGATTATGCATTTAGGCACACAACTAAAACTGCTGAAAGGAAAATAGATGATTGAACCTCTGCCTAATTAGAACATAATGCCATACTATTAGCAAATATGGCTGTCTAAGGTAGTTAATAATGTGGTGAATGGTGGAGTTGTGTTAATAATTATAAACTCCAGTAAATTTTTCTAGCTAGAGTAGAACCAGAATAATTTTTTTATGTTCCACTTGAGGAGCTTTCTCGCTGAGAAAGTGTCAAGCCTAGCACTCTTGTCTTCTTGTTGCTTGCCTACTCTGTATGAGTATGATAGGTATCAAAAGTTTCCAGTAAATAGGGAGTTCTTCTGACCCCCTTCTTAAAGTGTCAAAGACAAATTATACTGAGTAGTTTGGCATGGGAATCTTCTCAATGAGGTCATAGAGGCACAAATTCTTGTATCATTTTCTTCATACACGCAGCAACATTAAGTGGACTTCTGCCTATTTTATTTTTTTTAAACAGTAAGTCATTTCTTGTTCTGACACTTCCAATCTGATATTCTGACATGTTGACTGGGGAACATTGCGCTAGATCCTTCTGAGACCTAGTGTAATGTTTTCATTTGGGACCTAATTAATTGCCTATGTATACTATGTAACACATATTCTCACAGACTTGTGCTGTGGAATGCAGCAGAAGTTTCAATGGCACAAAACGCACCCTTAGATTAGTTTATTTCTCTGGTAAGAAAAGTTCCATTGTTACCTTCTATGGGATTGTTCCTTTAGCGAAAGACCTATTGAGCTGCCAATTAAATATCTTTGCTTAAAAATATTTAATTGTTCAGTTGTCTATTCTCTTTTTGCGGTATATTATTATTTCTGTCAAAGTGTCGGAATAATGTTAACTAAATTTGTCTTTTAATTTCATTAG